AACCCATCCATCCATCCATCCATCCACCCATCCATCCATCCATCCATCCGTCCGTCCATCCGTCCATCCATCCATCCACTCATCCACCAAGTCATCCAGCCATCCACTTAACTACTCGTTGGATTATTGTTGTTAGGTGTCATCAAGTCAGCTCTTACTCATAGCGACCTTCTATATAACAGAACAAAAGCCTGGCCCTGAATCCTCACAATCTTTGCTATGTTTGAGTCCATTGTCACAGCCGATGTGTCAATCCAGTTTTTATTGAGGGCCTTCCTCTTTTTTGCCGACCCTCTCCTTTACCAAACGTGATGTTCATAAGGTTTTCTATGGCTAATTTTTGGAAGCAGATGGTGAGACCTTTTTCCTAGTCTGTCTTAGGAAAGTTTGGAGGTTTGAGTTCACCCAGGTGCCTTGGAAGAAAAGATTGGTGATCTACTTCTGAAAACCCAGCCATAGAAAACCCTATGAGCATAGTCCTATTCTGACACATATAGGGTCTCTAGGAGTTGGAGTTGATTCCATGGCAACAGTTGGATAGATGCTCTCGAACCATGTCACACACACTTATTTCCATGAGGCTAGGATTATTTCTGCGGCAGGTGTTCAGGTCTTTCCCTGGGGTGACGGAGGGAAGATTAGAGGGGCTGGAAGCTTCTATCTTTCTCAGACAACACGGTTTTCTCCTGTTTTTATTATTTTTTAAAATGAAGTGAAATTCACATCACAGAAAGTTAACCATTTTAAAGTGAACAATTCAGTGGCACTTAGTACATTCACGGTGCTTTGCGATCACCACCTCTATCTGCTTCCAAAACACTTTTACCACACCAAAAGGAGACCGTGTAGCCATTAAGCTGTCACTCCCCATTTCTCTCTTCCCCAGTCCCTGCATCCACCAATCTGCTTCTGTCTCTATGTATTTGCCTATTCTGGATATTTCATGTGCATAGAATCACACATGTGACCTTTTGTGTCTGACTTATTTCAGCCAGCGTGATGTTTTCAAGGTTCATCCATGTTGTACATGTATTCGTACTTCATTTCTTTTCATTGCTGATTAATATTGCCTTGTATGGATGTACTACATTTGGTTTATCCAGTTGTCTGTTGATGGACACTTGGGTTGTTTCCACCATTTGGCTATTGTGAATAGTGCTGTAATGAACATTTTCATAAAAGTATCTGTTTTCTTTCAGTTCTTTTGGGTGTACACTCCCCTGTGTTTATTTTGCCCCTCTTGCAATGCTTTCCTGCTGGAAGACCCCACCCCTCCATGTTGTAGGATGTGTTCAAGCTCAGCCTGTGTCTCTGTGCCAGAAATCTGGCCAAGCTCTCCTCCTCCTATAGGGAGGACCTGTTTCTCCCACAATGATCTCATACTCTTGGTCAGTGCTTAGCCTAAGAACTGTAGGGTGGGCTGAGCTGGCATGGTTGGGTGCACTCCTGGGCTTCAGGCACCTGCCTCCCCCATCTCTGCTAGCTGACGGATACATGGGCACACTCCGGGGTCCTCACTACCCATGTGCTCCAGATCCAATGTGTCCAGAGGGTAATCATAATGTTCAAAAGTAACTACACCATGGAGAGCTTGCTCTGTTCTGGGCCCTGCTCTAAGCATCCGGCTTTATCCTCACCACAGTCTTCCCATTGCAGGAACTCCAGTTGGGTCTGGGCCAGTGGAAACAAGTTCCTCCTGGTTTAGCAGACATCTTACCTTGTACCTGTCACATCCCCACAGGTGACTCTGCAGGTGGACAGCCAGGCCTGGGAGTGGGCTACGTGGTCCTCATTGTGGTGGCCGCCTTTGCCTTGGTGACAGGCATAGCTGCCCTCCTGCTCATGCGCTACCAGAGGATGACCGGGAGGTACAACTTCAAAATCCAGTCTGACAACTTCAGCTACCAGGTGTTCTATGAATGAAAGGTCACGGTCGCACTGAAGGAGGGTAAGGAGCGAGACAGGTGTGAAGGGCTAGTTCACCATGGCTGCCTGGGAGGAAGGAAAAGCGAGCTTTGGTGGGGACAGATTTGTGTGTGTTAGCATTTTGTGGGTGCTCACTGGGGATGCATCCTCCCCTCCCAAAAAAGCAACCGGGAGCAGTCAGAAGGCGGGAAATGATCAGTGAGGGATGAGCGATAGGGTTCTATCAATTTATACAACCACGGCTACCCAGGACCAGAGGCAGTGCAGTGGGGGGTAGAGCAATGCTCCAGGTTCAAGCTCTGCATCTCCATGCTGAGGTCCTGAACCTCTCGGTGCCTTGGTCTCCTCATCCATACAAAGGAGTGGGTGATAGCAATACCCACCTCATGGAGTGGCTGTGAGACTCTAGTGAGAAATCGCAGGAAAGGCACTTATGTGGTACCTGGCACATCCTAAATGTTGAATAAATTCAGATTGTTATTACTGGTCCAGTGTCCCCCAACCTGGGAGGCAACAGGGTTCATCATTTCTTTCGTTGAGGATGTGATGTGGATACAATAACGCAGCAGTTCTTTACTCAACCCCCCAAAAATAACCAAACCCACTGCTGTCAAGTTGATTTCAACTCATAGCAACCCTATAGGACAGAGTAGAACTGCCCCATAGTGTTTCCAAGGCTGTAAATCTTTATGGAAGGAGACTGCCACATCTTTCTCCCAGAGAGCAGCTGGTGAGTTTGAACTGCCAACCTTTCAGTTCACAGCTGAGTGCTTTAACCACTGTGCCACCAGTTCTCCTCCATTCTTTACTCAGCAATAGTTATTTTAAATATCCTAACCTTTGTGTATGAAGACGCTTTTCTGACCTGTCAAAGGGGCATGTGGATTTTTTTTTCCTTCTGGCAAGAATACATTTCATCATAGACCAATGACATTCATTTCGGGGTGCAGTATTGTTCACATGGAGTCCCTGGGTGGTACAAATAGTTAACGCACTTGGCTGTTAAACAAAAGGCTGTCTGTTCAAGTCCACCCACAGGCACCTGAGAAGAAAGGCCTGGCAATCTACTTCCGAAAAAGCAGCCATTGAAAACCCTATGGAGCACAGTTCTACTCTGGCATATAAGTCGGGGTTGACTCAAGGGCAACTGGCTTATTGTTAGTATGAACCTTTAGTGGGACATGCCAGGATTGTTATGTTTATAAAGGTTTTTGAAGACGAATAATAATAATAATAGTAAAATCAGAGTTGCATTTCACAGCCAGGAGGGCTTGTGGGCAAATTGTGTTCTTGTTGTCCCCAAATGCTACCCAAAGTCTCGCGTGGATGGGGAAGACAGTGCGGCCCAGCCTGAGCCGGGCTCTGAGCCCGTAGCTGCAGCAGGGCATCCAGGTGCTGCTCTCCACCTCTGCTCCTTTCTGCACCTGTCCTACTGGCATTCTGGGAGGCGCTGCCCTTGCTTTTGGGACACCATCTCTCATTCCCCAGTAAGCACGGAAGTCATGTCCTTGGGGCTGGAGGAGCCCTCCACGAGCCCCACTCATGGGTTTTCCCTATCTGCTGCTTGCTGTGTGTACACTGACATGCCAACCTCATTCCCCATTCAGGTAGCGGTGACGTCGGCTCAGTTAGCAATTCATCACGCATGCTCGACAGCGCCCTCTGTCTTTTGCGGTGTGTCAGTGCTTGGATGAGCCCCAAGGATGATGAAAACACAGCCCAGTCTACCCCCAGGAAGCCCGCTGTCACATGTTGGTCCCAGACAAGCCATGCCCATGAGCAGGTGAGAGGAAGGGTTGGAGAAGCGGACACAGTACAGGAGAGCTTGGAGCTCCAGAAGTGACGGACACGAGGATCATCCAACCCAACGCAAGCACGGCTCCACCACCACTGAATTGCCTCCCAACCCCAGAGCTCTCCAGCGTTAATATCCAAATGGGTCCCCAGGATCCTTCAGGGGCTCACTCACCACGCACATCCATCACCCAACACTCTGTCAGACACATGCTGTCTCACCCTGGCAAAGTTAATTGACAGGGCACTTGAAGTTCTTTTAAAAATAGAACAGTCTTATAAATATTTTGCTAATATTTTTAAGTAGATGAATATAATCTTTAAAAGTTGGTGGGAAACTTTTCTTCCATCTTTCCAGCATTTTGTTCTTATTTACACCCCAGTGATTCAAAAGGCACTTGATTAATATGAACATCTTTATGACAAACAGAAATAATATACCTATAACTCTCTTTTATATTTTTCCAAGTATTTTCACAGACATCACAGACATTTTTTTTAAAAATATATTCCTACCACAAGGAACGTACCATTACACAGATGAGAAACCAGAGAAGGAGTAGACTATTTATTTAAGGTCATAAAATGAATTAACGAGGAAATGGGTGAAGAATCTATTTTAGTCTAGAATTTTCCCCAATCTACCATTTATTTCACTTAAAACAAATTAGAATAGTGTTAGATAACTGACACCCAAAAGTAGAGGTTTTTATTTTTTCCCCCTTGATGACCTTAGAAAGAATGATAACATGGTCTTTGTTTTTAACTCATGAGCTTAAATTTGTTGGTTGCAATGGATTGTCATTGTGCAGAATATTTGGGAAATAGAGGCACTTTGGTTTATTGGATATTCTCAGAGGTAGTAAGGAATTAAAATATGTAATATGTGTGGATAAGCAATTTTAAACAAGTAAAATAAATGGCATTTAACACCAAAATGTGACCATGCAGGACACTGTTTGACCACTGACGACACAGACATGCTCACTCTGCATCTGCCGACGGCCAGGTGCTGTGCTGGGCACCACTGGTGCTTCCTGGGCCGCATCACTGTGTTCCTCTGTAAGCTCAGCACCTGCCACTTGCTTTTGCTGAGAACACTCCATAAACCCAGGTGTTGCGTTCCCTGACTGTGTGGCCCTTTGGGGTTCAGATAAAAGTAGTTGATGTACACGTTAAAATCTCACTCCATCTATACTTGTCGTGGTCATCTAGTGCCGCCATAACAGAACTATCACAAGTGGATGGCTTTAACAAAGAGAAGTTTATTCTCGCATAGTCCGGTAGACTAGAAGTCCGAGTTCAGGGCGCTGGCTCTGGAGGAAGGTCCTTGTGATGCATCAGTCTTCCCTTGGTCTGGGAGCTTCTCTGCACAGGAACCTCAGGTCCAAACGGCACGCTCTGCTCCCGGCACTGCTTTCTTGGTGGTATGAGATCCCCGTGTCTCTCTGCTCGCTTCTCTCTTTTATACCTCAAAAGAGACTGGCTTAAGACACTATCTAGTAGATCTCATCAATATAACTACCACTAATCTATCTCATTACACCATAGTGATAGGATTTACAACACACACGGAAATCACATCAGATGACAAAATGGTAGACAATCATACAATACTGGGAATCATGACCTAGCCAAGTTGACAGATATTTTGGGGGGACACAATTCAATCCATGACAATACTTTTCATGTCATCTCAATAAATATGCCCTTTCCACTCATTTGTGTTTTCTGAAATACTGAAAAGTATAAATACTTAGTTTCCTATGTTTGCAGTAACAAAATGCCACTAATTGGGTGGCTTTAAACAACAGAAACTTATTTTCTCACAGTTCTGGAGGCTAGGAGACCAAATTCAGGACATAGCAGAGCCATGCTCTCCTTCTGCGGGCTCTAGGAGAAAATCCTTCCTTGCCTCTTCCATCTTCTGTAGCCCTGGGCATTTCTTAGCATTTCTTGGCTTCTAGACAGATCCTCACATGCTGTCTTCTCCCTGTGTGTGGTGCTGTCTCTGTGTCTGTCCTTCTCTTTTATAAGACACCACTCAAAAGGGATTAGGATTAGGACCCATCTTACTCTGGTATGACTTCCTTAATTTAACTGATAACATCTGCAAAGTAAAACCCTATTTCCCCAAGCAAGGTCACCCTCTCAGGGGTTAAGACTTCAGCATAACTTTTATTGTTGTTTTTAGGTGCCATTGAGTTGGTTCCAATTCATAGCAACCCTGTGTACAACAGAACAAAACACTGCCCAGTCCTGCGCCATCCTCACAATCGTGCTATGTTTGAGCCCATTGTTGCAGCCACTGTGTCAGTCCATCTCATTGAGGGTCTTCCTCTCGTTCGCTGACCCTCTACTTCACAAAGCATAATGTCCTTCTCCAGGGACTGGTCCCTGCTGATAACATGTCCAAAGTACATGAGATGAAGTCTCCCCATCCTCGCTTCTAAGGAGCATTCTGGCTGTACTTCTTCCAAGACAGATTTGTTCATTCTTCTGGCAGTCTGTGGTATAGTCAATATTCTTCGCCAACACCACAACTCAAAGGCATCAGTTCTTTGGTCTTCCTTATTGATTGTCCAGCTTTCACATGCATGTGACGTGATTGAAAATTCCATAGCTTGGGTCAGGTGCACCTTAATTCTCAAAGTGACACCTTTGCTTTTTAACACTTTAAAGAGGTCTTTTGCAGCAGATTTGCGCAACACAATACGTCTTTTGATTTCTTAACTGCTGCTTGACACAGAGGCTGCAACAATGGGCTCAAGCATAACAATGATTGTGGGGATGGTGCAAGACTGGGCAGTGTTTCATTCTGTTGTACACAGGGTTGCTATGGGTCAGAACCGACTCGACGGCACCTAACAACCACAGCAACAAGCTTCCATGGGGGTTGATTGTGATCCAAGCAACAGGGGACACAATTCAATCCATGACACTTGGTCTCCTCTCGCCTCCCACTTCCTGCCTGGTGGTTCTCCCATCTAGACACCACCTGGGCCCTCGAGTCCTTCCCCACCCAGGATCTGAGGCTGTGACTCCTTCTGCTAAAAGGCTCAGGGTGCTGGATTCACCTGTGAGGGCTGGGGAATCACCTGTGTGTAGAGGCGTACACTGGTCCAGCTGCACCACCCTATGCCTGCCACTAGATGGCACAGCAAACCAGAGTCCGCGTCTCAATTGTTTCTGCAACATCTGCC